CCCTCGTGTTCTGAAGCCCTGGTCCCTGTGCTTGCTCGCCTCTTTCGCCTTTGCCTCAAAACCAAAACTTTTCCTTCTTCTTGGAAGCATGCCTTGGTTCAGCCCATCCCAAAGAAGGGTGACCTATCTAATCCCTCTAACTAGCGCCCCATTGCCCTAACTTCATCCCTCTCTAAGATTTTCAAAACTATCTTGAACTCCCATTTTCTCCGCCACCTTGAACACCTCTTTCTTTTGTCAGACCACCAGTATGGATTTCGCCAGGCGAGATCTACTGGTGATCTGCTCTCCTATTGCACCCATCTTTGGTCATCCTCTCTTAGGGATTATGGGGAAACTTTTGTCGTGGCCCTCGACATCTCCAAAGCATTTGACAGGGTATGGCACAAGTCTTTGCTATCTAAACTTCCCTCTTTTGGTTTCTCTCATCTCTAGCTTCCTTGAGAATCGATCCATGGCAGTTGTTGTCGAGGGATCGATTTCTCGCTCTTTCTCTACCAATAGTGGCGTCCCACAGGGTTCTGTTCTTTCACCAACTCTCTTCCTTCTTTTTATCAATGATTTACTTCACACAACTAATTCTATCCATTCTTACGCCGATCATTCTACTCTTCACTCTTCCTCACATTTTCCCCTTCCTCCTAACTCTCAAACTAGATCTGTTTCTAGAACTGATATCATTACTTCTATCAACGCAGATCTGTGCAGCATCTCTGAATGGGGAGATACAAACGTGGTTAAGTTCAATAGTAACAAAACTCAATATTTACCAATTACACTTTGTAAATTAGACGATCTCCCACCAATTACATTTCAGGACGCTATCATCCTCCAAAATTCTGAAATAAATATGTTAGGCCTCACCATTTCCTCCAATATGTCCTGGAAATCACACATCCTTAGTATAACTAAAGCTGCCTCCCGAAAGTTGGGAATGCTGTACAGATGCCGCAGCTACTTCACTCCTGAGCAGTTGCTCCAAGTATATAAGGATTCATTCGTCCTAACTTGGAGTACTGTTCTCATATCTGGGGTGGCTCTTCTTCTGTCCAACTATTAGATAGGGTGGATTCAAAGGCATTTCGTCTTATTAACTCTCCCCCTTTAGTAGACAATCTATCTCCCCTTTCTCTTCGCTGCAATGTTGCTTCACTTTCTCTCTTTTACAGGTACTTTAATGGGCAATGTTCAGTGGATTTGGCATCCTGTGTACCGCCGGCAAGGCCGTGGGTTTGTAACACACGTCTTGCCCACGGTGCCCACCATTTCTCTGTGGATGTCGGTCACACGAGAATAACCCGTTATAGTACCACCTCCTTTCCTCACACAGCCAAACTGTGGAATGCTCTGCCTTCTTCTGTGTTTCCATGCTCTTACAATCTGTCTTACTTTAAAAAGCTGGTTTTCCGGCATCTTCATGGTGTAGATTAATACAGTATAACCTTTTTTTCTATATTTTCAATTTCTTTCCGTTCTTTTTTTTCGCCCCCCAGGCCCCGTTGTGGGTCGTTTGACCTGTGCCCGGGTGGGCTAATTCCATCATCTGTACAGTACTCGATTTTTAGATACCATTTACACATCCTGGGTCCTGGAACCTCGGAAATCAGTATCCTAGACTTGCAGGGTGAAGTACTAGTATTGCTCAATCCTAGCAAAATTTTTTTTTTACAAAAGATGCTTACTCATAGTACAAATCACCTGTAATTTACACTCTAAAACCTAGGGGTGGGGTGGTCCAGATAAGTTAAGTCTAGAATGGAGCAATTTTCCTTTAAATCAAGCTGTCCTCCCTATAACGCGGAAATAATATAAAACACCTAAAAATTTTAACTCGGATACTGTACTTATTAGACATTATCAGAGATGATGTTAAAGAGTTGCAATTAACTCTTTGCATTGTTGAATGTATGCTACATATACATTAGTACTTCACATTCATAATATTGTATCACATATGGTAGGAAGACCTACTGAGACCATATGCCTCCATCAAAATTGCCATATCTGTACCAGAGATCACATTCATTTCTAACCTCATTACTCATACCTCTTAATTTTTGTCCTAGTGGGGACAATCATGTGCTTATGCATACTCCATTCTCAGCACTGTGACATGGAATAACATGTTGTGCAATACAAAAATGAATCATACGGAAAAACACAAATACACAATAAATAGGATACAGTCTACTGGAGGAGAGCACAAGCTTAGATGAATCAGCTTATGAAGGGCTGTTAGTCACTTTGTACACTATATACAATTAAGTTAGTATATGAGCATGTATGGAAATTTGTTGTCCTAACTTTGTTTCTTTGGGTTTCTACATTTGTCTTGTTCTATTCTTTTTATTATCATTAACCTTCTAAATGGTTTCTGCACCCACTGATCCACCCTACAATAATCATTTTCTAGCATAAAAATTCCTACCAATTCAAGCACATGTAAAGTTTTCTCATTCACCTTCGTTAGATGGTTTCACAAAAAAATTTGAGCAGATTTAATGAATTTTTTTAGCCGTGACAACCACAATTTGCATTCAAACTAGCCTTGCAAGAGTCCAAATATGTCTGACCCATGTTCTACCTTCACTTGCAAGGTGTAAATGTTGTACTCAATGTCTGGTTTAGGAATAATGGCTTGGAAATTTTGAAATGTATTTAAAAGCTTTATCCATATCATTCCTGACAAAAATCCCTCATGCCCCCAGGCTCCGTTGTGGGTCGTTTGACCTGTGCCCGGGTGGGCTAATTCCCGTAAAAAAAAAAAAAAAAATGCCACACACACAGTGTACCCCAGCTCACACAATGTATACACCTAGGTCAATGTACCCCAACTCACATAAAGTATACACTCAGGTCAATGTACCCCAGCTCACACAAAGTATACACCCAGGCCAATGTACTCCAGCTCACATAAAGTATACACTCAGGTCAATGTACCCCAGCTCACACAAAGTATACACCCAGGCCAATGTACTCCAGCTCACACAAAGTATACACTCAGGCCTAATGTGCCCCAGCGCCACACAAAGTATACACCCAGGCCAATGTGCCCAGCTCACACAAAGTATGCACACCCAGGCCAATGTACTCGGCTCACACACAAAGTATACACTCCATTTAATAACCCTTGGCTCACACAAAGTATACCCAGGCCAATGTGTGCCCCAACTCACACAAAAGTATACACTCAGGCCAATGTACCCCAGCTCACACAAAGTATACACTCAGGCTAATGTACCCCAGCTCACACAAAGTATACACCCAGGTCAATGTACCCCAGCTCACACTAAGTATACACTCAGGTCAATGTACCCCAGCTCACACAAAGTATACACTCAGGCCAATGTACCCCAGCTCACACAAAGTATACACTCAGGTCAATGTACCCCAGCTCACACAAAGTATACACTCAGGCCAATGTACCCCAGCTCACACAAAGTATACACTCAGGCTAATGTACCCCAGCTCACACAAAGTATACAGTACACTCACACCCTTGTGCCCCAGCCCACAGACATTAAACACTAATAATACTGAAGACTATTCCTATTCAATATTTGATATATTGTATTTAGTAAACTACTTTTGATTCAGCTATGTAAATTAAACAAAACTTATCATATTCTTAATGGATTTCATATATTTAAATCTTATAAAAACAACAAGTTAGCAATGTAAGACAAACCATTTTCATAGTTTAGAAGTAAGGGCAGACATAAAATACTAAGGAGTCAGAGGGTCTTGTTAAAATGTAGCAACAATGAGTTGCCAAACATCACCACAAATCATACAAAATTAAAAAAAGAAAAAATATGATCTTACAACCAATGGTATAGACTAGTAAAATACAATCCGGTGTTCCACAACTACAGAAGTTTGCATTTCTGAATATAAAGGCAGGACAGCTCCTTTCTTTGGAATTCATCTGTCTCATTTTATGGCTACTCTATACAGTACTTGAAAAAATTATACACTGGTTTATAACAAGAAAAATGTACACAAATTAATTCATTTTTTCTTTTCATATACAGAGAAATAAAATTAATCAACTAATTTGTGAAAGTCCTCATAATACTTTTGAAATAAAAGTAAATTTATAAGATTACAGGCAGGACAGTTCACCTTGTATGCTACAGTACAGTACAGTTTAGTACAAGTGTTAAATTTTATAATCAAAGTAACTGAGTATCAAGCATAGCATAGTTGTGAACCAAGACTTTGTACACACCTCTGGGGCACATGTGTATGAATATAAACTTATGTATATGCATGTTTAGATGTAAGTATTTATGTGCACAAGGCAGATGGATATTTTTTTCTATTTTCTCATTGTTACAAGCCTTTTCCAGCTTTGATGTAAGAAAGCCAGGCAAGTGTTGATGCCATGATTCTTAATATTCAGTAATTATTGGGTTACCCAACCCGCTTAACAGGATGCTAATCAACTGAAAAATTGTTACACAATCAGCAAGCAAACCTATGTATAATAATTTTATTGCAGAGTATGCAAGGGTTTGTGTACAAGGATAGAACCCAATTCTTTACACAGGACCATTTGCTCCTGGGGTGAATGCTCTACTGCTGAACTACAGAGTAAGTATGTATGTGAACAAAATTATGTCAAGTATGTGCAATTCTGTGTGTGCATACTAAACTTATGTGTATGTTTTGGTCATTGTGTGAAAATATTCTTGAGACAACTTATGTGACAGTGTATGTCTCAATGTGTGTGTCTATGTATATGCATATAAACTTCTTTTTTTGTGTGTGTGTATGTGTGTGTGCATGAGTGCGTGTGTGCATGTGTGTGTCTGTGTGGGCAAGTGTGCCCGTGTGTGTGAGTGAGTGTGTGTGGGAGAGTGTGAGTGAGTGTGTGTGGGAGAGTGTGTGTGTGTGTGTGTGGGAGAGTGTGTGTGTGTGTGGGAGAGTGTGTGTATGTGTGGGCGAGTGTGTGTGTGTGGGCGAGTGTGTGTGTGGGCGAGTGTGTGTGTGGGCGAGTGTGTGTGTGGGCGAGTGTGTTGTGGGCAAGTGTGTGTGTAAATGCACGCCCACATGCACGTACAGTACATTTAGTAAAATGCCACAACTTTGCTCACCAAAGGTTTGCATTTTGGCAAAAAATGTTTTGACTTCATTTGTAATCCAACCTCTATATATTTTCCTAAAAAATATGATTGTTCACATTTTCCTATGAAAAAACACATACTGTATAGGACAAATATCTCATTCTCAACTCCTTGATGATAAATAAAAATTGAAAACATATTTTTGAAAGATCAGGCATGAGATAGATGTTTTAGGATGATACTGTACGTAGACAAAACTTTTGTAAAATATTAAATTTAAATATCTAATAAATACAGCTATTACAAATTAAGCAAGGGAAAATCCATCATACAAAATATAAGGGTCATTATGACGCAGCAGTGTAGAGAACATAGAAACATCTGCTCTGTGCAACTGCACTGTGATTACTGAACCAGTAAGAAGCAGTTAGCCAGTCAACTGCTGCCACACCAGTATTATTTAACTGCCACATAATATGAGGCCCCCGCATCGTAAGGGTAACTCAGACCACCCGGGCGAAACCCGTTTTTGTTGGAAAGCACTATTTTCGGCCTAGCTCGATACGATGGTAGTGGATAAGATCTCCTTACTAGACTGTAAATAAGGTTGAAAGCCCTTTTAAAATAGGGTTTAGCATCGATTTGTGGCAGACAGGAAAGTATCGGCTTGACTTTCGCGTCGTCAGGTGCTCTCGTCCTGTCAGCGAGTAAGTGAGAGGAGCGGGTGGCCAATCACAACGGCTGGCCCGCAGCCACTTCCCCCATCTCGGCCAATGACAGTGAGCGTCTGCTATCTACGTCACGGCCCCTCCAGCCAATGAGAGCGGAATCCCTCCCTCAGTTCTTTTGTTGTGGCGGGATCTACACTCTGATGTCGATTAAAGTCAAAAAAACCATAAGCGGGAGGAAGTTTTGTTGCTTCAAGTCAACATTGCAACAACCCAGTACATTACTTCATGACGTGCTACCTACCATCTGCAAGTACAGTCCTTTAGCTTCAAAATGCATAAAAAATGAATGGTGTATCTCCAAAAACAACAAAGTTATGCTTATTAGAAATATAAAAAACTTTAAACACGGTTTTCTCGGTTTCAAATTTTGGCACAAGTAACCCTTACGATGTGGGGGGCCTCATATGATTTGACTAAATTTATAGTTTTGCATAACAAAATAATTAGAAATACTTTAAATGATCCATCAATTAACAAACATTACAGATACCCAATGGATATTTAATCTGTCAAGCCCACAGTTGGAGATTCAAAATATGGATTTACAAAATATTTCCAAATTTAATGGTATTCTTAAATAATGGACAATACTTTCCCAAGAGACTTAAGTGCATTGATATGTACAAAAAAAAATAATTATTTAAATTTCACTGAAAATTACTTCTTATGCTGTAGATATACATCAGCTCTTTGGATGGTAAGCAGACTACAGTAAAATATTTTAAAATCATACTCTAACCATTTAATACATGTTCAATTTGGTCTCTATATCAATGGTACCTTGTCCTTATTATGAAGTGTTTTGTGTACATGTTAATTCGGGTTTATGGTCCCTGGGTCCATACTAAGGTAAATGTGATAATTTTTATATCGAGGATTCATGGTTTCAAAGTCCTATAAACAAATGTTTTAACCTGACTATTATTTAAATCATTGTCAAGTTAAAGTTCACCACCATATCAATTCAAAATTCGGAGGGTATATGCATACTTGTGGCATTTTACTTATATATATATATATATATATATATATATATATATATATATATATATATATATATATATATATATATATATATATATATATATATATATATATATATATATATATATATATATATATATATATATATATATATATATATATATATATATATATATATATATATATATATATATACACACACACACACACACACACTTACACAGTTACAAACATATATGCATATCTTTCACCATAAGTATTTGATTCTTTGCAGAATCAATGAGTAAAATAATTATGTGGTTACTATAGCCATAGACTTGACCATCTTTCCAGCATGTCCTTAAACTCAGTATACAGAACAGTACTCCACTGGTTAACAACACATCATTCCATCTCTGCAGCTTATTTTCACCTCATCAGAAATTTCCAGTCACCACTTACTGCTTGATATCCTTCTATTTGCCAGTAGTTGTCAGGTCCCAGGGTTGTTTATATGTGACTGATGCTCAAGACTTAACCAGGGTCTTCTGAAGAACATGAGCATCAGCAGGTTCAATTCTCTTGTAATAATGTTGCTTTGTTTCCACCACTTCAAATCCAAATTTTTTGTAGAAATCTAATGCACCATCGTTGTTAACTTGTACATGTCTGCAAAGGATAGAGAATGGAATAATTAAGACATATGCACTGTACTGAAATCTAGGTATGACCCTAAAAAGACATAACCTAACCTACTACAGTACTACTTATCCATTCATCCATCCCAGAGATAATTTATAATCTAAGTGACCTTCAACAAAGATTAGACATGATGGGTATCAATATAATAATTAGAAAACTATTAAAAATAGACAAGATGACTGGCTAGTTTCACCTTAATGATAAAATGAGTCCTGCAGAAGCAAAGGTATTTTATACCTATCAAGTCAAATCGTGTCTGTTACCGCCACAGTAAGATAAACTAGAAGAGAGAGAGAAAGAGAGGGATAGCCACAATAAGATAAACTAGACGAGAGAGAGGGTGAGAGGAGAGACATAGTGTTGACAACGAATTTTGCTGAGGTGTTTTAAATAAGCGACGGTCCAGGCAGCTGCGACTGCTCGAGGGCAGTCGATCGCTTCCTGCAGTAGAGACATCTTTCGTTTGACCAACATATACCAAGAGGATATTACACCAGTTCTCATTGGTCAAACCCTAGACCCTAAAACGTTTTGAATGTTAACACTCATAGGAGCGTTATTGATTTGTATTGGAGAGTAAGATCCACAACGATGACGTGTAGAATATAATTCGGTCAAAACCTGTTAAAGAACAATTCACATATAACAAATGCTGGTATATCAGGACACATAGTATGAATAATACAATCAATATACAGTACATAGCCTATTAACATCTTAAATATAACTAACATGTTACAACTGTTGATACATCAGGAGACAATCTGTATAATATGATCAAAATACAGTACATAAATATACAGTATTTTTTGGCATAAAAGACGCACTTTTTATGACAAAAATATACCTCGAAAATTACCATACGTCTTCCAGGATGCTAGTCGATGAGTTGTAGCAGAGGTTTTTGAAATCAGCCCCTTACAAAGACTGTTACCTCATTACAGTACTTAACAATTACAAGTATTCTCTATACAGTACTATAAAACTATTGATTTAACTTATATTGTTGATATACTGTATTGCCCAAAAAAAAAAAAAAACCCTTGCTGCTGTGTGGTTTGTTTACTAATGGCAGTGGTGCGGCAGCGCCATCTATTGAGGAATTGCTAAAGGTTGTCTGCTGGTCTCAAATGCAGGAATGTTTGTTTCTTTATATGTAGGCTCTCATATTTGGACACCTATTTACAGTAGGCTCTCATATTTGGATACCCATTTAGACTGTAAAAACCCCACAAAATTAAAATCTTCCAAATTTAAATACACCTTCGTCATCCAAGTAAAAACACACACACAACATTGGCTGTCCTTATGTTTTCAACTTTACTACCACTGGTGGGTAGATATTTTTTTTTAATTCAGAAACATTAATTAAAATATATATGAACAGTATATAAGTGTTGCTTTCATATTCTTATGTAGAGCAATGATGATATGTTTACACATGTGCTCATTTACATACGTGATCTCTCTTTTTTTTTTTACCCTTAATTGTTAGCTACTTCCATTGTTCCATTTATTAACATTAAATAACATTACTTAAAACAACCATACTAATTTTACTACAGCTACAACCAGGGTCTTATCTTCTTTAGTTTTATATGTAGAACTAATCAGTCACTGGTTTTGTAAACAACAAAAACAATGACGTCTTGTCTCATGTGTTTTAATATTCTTCGTATTATTAATGAATTGTATTGTTCAATTTGCACACAAACAATAATTCAATCAAAAAGAAATTCAAAAACATTAATTAAAACATATATGAACAGTAAATAAGTGTTGCTTTCATATTCTTATGTAGAGTAATAATGATATGTTTACACATGTGCTCACTTATATACAGGATCTCACTTTTTTTACCCTTAATTGTTAGCTACTTCCATTGTTCCATTTATTAACATTAAATAACATTACTTAAAACAACCATATTAATTTTTCTACATTAATTTTAATACAGCTACAATGGAGGACTTATTTTCTTTAGTTTTATAATTTTGTAGAACCAATCAATCACTGGTTTTCCAAAAAACGAGTTGTTTTTTTACTTTTATTTTGTTTTTAAATAAAGATTTTTTGTTTTATATAGACGTTGGTATACATGTTTACATTTGCTAACCTTCTACTGTTGGAAAATATTTCCCGTCGTCGTTGTCATACCGACAAAAACAAGAGAAAGAATGTAAACACTACAGCCCCTAAGACGTGGAGGTGACCAGGTGTATAAAATGAGTGCTGTATTAAAGATTTCACCTTCTTATACAGATTTTTTTTTAAATTGATGAAAATGACGACTGATAAGCAGTTCTTAAGTGATGATATTCAAAGAGGTGTGTGTACTTGTGCCAAAAGGGCTGTACAGTGGGGTATGCTATAACGAATCTAATTGGTTCTAGAACCTTGTTCGTTATAGCATTCGTTCGTTATAGGATTAATCCGTTCCAGGCCCCCAAATACAACCACTTAACACTGAAAAATATAATATAAAATTGTAAAAATTTAAAATAAGTACATAAATATGCATCTAAACCCCTGAAATAAAGAATATCATTAATACTTGTAATACAAAAGCAATAAATTAAAAAAAAAAAAAAAAAAAAAAAAATTAAATAATGTTCGTTGTAGGAGTTTCGTTCGTTATAGCATTCTCAATTTTATAGGTAAAACCGTTCGTTATAGGAATATTCATAGTAGGAACCGTTCGTTATAGCATACCCCACTGTATATCAAGCAATGGTTACACTGGTGTAGGTATTAGGCAGCTAATGTACCAAACAAGGAGGCACTACCGTCTGGGAAGATATTGGAAGCATAATGTATTGTCTAATGGTAGACCCTGCTGCTATGTGTCCAAGTCCCAGGTTGATGATCTGACGTTCTGCAGGGTCTCAATGGTTTCTCTTTGACAATACAACAAACATCCTGTACAGATATATTGTTTCTCACTCTTGATTTTTTTTTTCATTTTTGTATTTCTGCATTATTATTATTATTATTATTACATTTTCGCCCCCTTGGCCCCAATGTGGGTCAGTGACCTGTGCCCAGGTGGGCTAAAACCCGTAATTTTTTTTTATGGAATTTCATTTCCAAAATCAGGGTGCGTCTTCCAAGCCGAAAAATACGGTACTTATTAAAGTTATTTAGAGTTTTTTTTTAGAGGATTTAATAGTTCACAATCACACTCAAGTTTTAGGGTCTAGGGTTTGACCAACGAGAGCTGGTGTAATATCCTCTTGGTATATGTTGGTCGAATGAAATATGTTGTCTCTACTGCAGGAAGCGATAGACTGCCCTCGAGCAGTCGCAGCTGCCTGGGCCGTCGCTTATTTAAAACACCTCAGCAAAATTCGTTGTCAACACTATGTCTCTCCTCTCACCCTCTCCCTCTCTTCTAGTTTATCTTATTGTGGCTATCCCTGATAAGCTATGGGCCAGGTACTCCTCGGGGCATCGACTTCTGAAGAGCGTAGCGTGGATTAGAAGGTTTATAGAATGGCGGCTTGGGAAGCGAAAGAACAAACATCACCGAGAAAATCGGCTCCAGGTCAGCGAATTGGAAGAGGCGAAATTAGCTGTCTTAAGATTTATGCAAAGGAAAGGATTCCCTCGAGAACTAGGAATGTTACAACAGGGACAACCCATGAGAGGTAGCGACATAAGGCAGCTGGAACCTCATCTAGACACTGACGGTCTGATCAGAGTAGGTGGCCGACTGAAACATGCCGCTCTCCACCCAGACCAGGAGAATCCCATACTATTGCCAAGGAACAACAGGATCACAGGGCTCATCGTGAGAGAGGTACACTCAACTAGAGCTGGACACTCAGGACGAGAACACACTCTTGCAGCAAATTACTCGACCGCACAATACGGACGTGTGTGACTTGTCGGAGAAGCAACTGGAGGCCTACTCACCAACGCCAAGCCGACCTGCCAGAAGATCGAGCGCGCCCAGGAGGCCAGCCGTTCACCTACACTGGAATTGATTGCTTCGGCCCTTTTTTGGTTAAACAAGGACGAGCCCGGGCGAAAAGATGGGGATGCTTATTCACCTGCCTGACCATCAGAGTCCTCACCTTGATAGACACCGACTCGTTCATCAACGCCCTGACAAGATTCACCTGCCATAGGGGACCTCCCAAGCGTGTTCGGTCTGACAGGGGAACCAACATGATTGGAGCTAGCCGAGAGTTACGAGAGGCGGTGAATGGCTGGAACAACGGTGACAAGGTAGGAAATGCCCTCCTACAGAAACAGATAGAATGGCAGTTCAATCCCCCGACAGTCTCTCACATGGGAGGAGTGTGGGAGCGACAAATCTGCACTGTAAGGAAGGTCCTCCAGGGAGTGGTGGGCACCCAGACACTGGACGATGAATGACTCAACACTTTGTTCTGCGCCGTAGAAGAGATCATCAACGGAAGGCCCATCACCCCAGTGTCTGACAACTCAAAGGATCTAGAAGCACTAACGCCGCTTCACATACTACGGATGAACCAGGAGACACTGTCCACCGGAGGCAATCGGTCCGTTACAGAAGGGTACCGACGAAGATGGAAGCATGCCCAATTCATTGCGGACCAATTTTGGAAAAGGTGGGTAAAAGAATATCTCCCAACATTACATCAGCGACAAGGGTTCTTCAAAACTCGCCGTAATCTCCACGCTGGGGATATCGTGATCATCTCTGGACAACCCCTCCCCAGGAGTCAGTGGATGCTAGGGAGAGTACTGGAGGCTCTACCGAGCAAAGATATCCTGGTGCGAAGTGTTAAAGTGAAGACAAAGGACTCAGTGTTAATACGCCCAGTGACGAGACTCTGCCTGCTGGAAGCGGTCGGAGAGTGAATCTAATAATATGCCGTGATTTCGTGCGAAGCCCGACAGGGGTAGTGTTACCGCCACAGTAAGATAAACTAGGAGAGAATGAGAGGGATAGCCACAATAAGATAAACTAGACGAGAGAGAGAGAGAGGGTGAGAGGAGAGACATAGTGTTGACAACGAATTTTGCTGAGGTGTTTTAAATAAGCGACGGCCCAGGCAGCTGCGACTGCTCGAGGGCAGTCTATCGCTTCCTGCAGTAGAGACAACATATTTCATTCGACCAACATATACCAAGAGGATATTACACCAGTTCTCGTTGGTCAAACCCTAGACCCTAAAACGTGAGTGTGATTGTGAACTATTAAATCCTATTATACAAATCATATTATACAAATTGTCTCCTGATGTATTAACAGTTGTAACATGTGAGTTATATTTAAGATGTTAATAGGCTATGTACTGTATATTAATTGTATTATTCATACTATGTGTCCTGATATACCAGCATTTGTTATATGTGAATTGTTCTTTAACAGGTTTTGACCGAATTATATTCTACGCGTCATCGTTGTGGATCTTATTCTCCAACACAAATCAATAACGCTCCTATGAGCGTTAACAGTGTCCTTTTAATTTGCCACACTCACTCATCCAACAGAACATTGTCCCAACTCCTAAAATGCAGAAACCCTGGGCAAAGCAGATTGGTCTAGCAGGAGAAAATCACAAGTCAATTGTCAAATGACCAGAAGGCCATACAAAGACACAAACAAGAAAAACAAGGAATAGAAGAATCAATATATAAACAACTATCTAAGACACCCACTGTGCTAATGCAATAATTGGTTGACAACATATGAATTCTTTCCATTGCTACTAATTCCCCTGCTGAAATGGGTAAATTTAAGAATTTCATTCAAAGTGGAAAACTTACAAGAAAATGGAGTTGAAATTTCCTTCCCTCTCAACAAAGTTAAGCACGTGCTCTAGCATCTTGGTACCAATGCCTAAACGTCGGTAAGGGGCAAGGCATCCTAAGGTCATGATGTAGAGTCGTCGCTGCCCATCCAAGACGTCCACACGGCAGCACACGCCACCCACGACCATGTCATTATAGTATGCTAAAAGAATGGAGGATACAATTTTAAAAAATCAGCTTTAACAATGGAACACCAATAATGTATTTTGAAAAACCCATAAGGCAAAACACAAGTAAAACACAAAACTAGTTAAAAATAAAACCAAGAATAGTGAGAGCAGTATGCAACTATACTCAACGAACAAAGAAGAAAATACATATCTTAGTTCCCCGTTATCTATCAAATGTTAATTTATTATCCTGAGTGTAAGTATTTGTTCCATACAGTAAACACAAATATGCACTGCATATGATCTCATTAAATAACATATAAGGAAACAGCCATTATATTATAAATTTCATAAAGCTTTGTTAATAATTTCATTTTGGTTCAACAAAATTTCACGTTTTCCAAACATTATTTTCTATTGCATTCAGCATGTGTCAAAGCCACATGCCTAGCGGTTATGACATCTAAAACAATTAACAAACTATACATGTCTATGATAAATATCACATCTTTCACCAACCTGCACTGCTTAGAAAACAATACTGTACTGCTTTACCTATAAGAGCATGAAATACCCACCACCAGTCACAGGAAAGGAGACAAATTTAACCCTTTCAGGAGTGATTACACACAGTACTGTACATATATGGACCATGCCTATCAAAGTAAACTTTTTCAAACAATAACCTAAAAGTTTCAGCCTTAAAGAATAATAAATTACCACATGTCCCTCAGGATAAGGGACTAATTGGTAATGGGGGAAAACCGACTACGGTACCCAATAATTATTTTGAACTAAAGGAGGGAAGGGGGGTGGGGTTGAAATACCAGATACTTTGAAATAGGAGATACTATTACAGTACTTATTATTGCATAAATTTGAAATACATTCCTAGTAACAAAATATTTTACATGAAACAAAATAAATAAAAAGCACATTACATTCAATACAGCACTGAGAAGTATGGGACAATTCCCCCAGTATGAAACCTGACAGCAGATTGAAGTGGTTGTTGAAAGGTTACAAAATAAGTGGTACTGATTTTCTACAATTCATCAATCTTATCTCCATCTTTCAAATCACTGCAATCATCTTCTACTTCACCCCTGGCTAATAACCTCCTAGTGACTCAAGGAGTATAAGACCGAATGGGTTGACATCAGAAGCTCTATGGATAGGAACGAACTTTTGTCGGGGGTTATTTATGTCTTTAGAGGCCTATGGTGTGTATGCCACGTACAGCACTCAAATCTACTCATGAATTGTGGAACAGTATAAGGACTGTTTATATACATACAGTACTTACCTAATTTAAAAAAAGTATGTGTAGGGTGAACATACATGCTGAATTTACTCATGAAAGAGTTAAGGAGCTTCTTTAACTTAACACCACAAAATCTAAAACCACCAAAACTGAATTTGGCCAAATTGATAAAAACAAACCTAATGATTTTCTACATCCGTATTTTAAACACATTTGTATATTTTCACAACGTGACCTACTTTTAAGGAATCCGAGACTCCAGAATGGTAGGGCCCAGAATCCTCAAAATCGAACTTGGTCTGTATTTTCATATGGGTAACACTGTCCTAAAATTTGAAAGAAATCAGTCAAAGAAAACTTAAGTTAAAGCATGGAACGAAAACTTAACAGCCAAATACAGTAACAGACAACTGACACTGCCATACCATAATACTATCAATCTATTATTCATTCTTTGTTCCTTTCACACTTTCTTTTGTATTGAGCAGATCCAGAATTATAGAAGCTTTAAAGACAGCAAGGAAATAAACACTCCTCTGTTTATTTCCCTGCTACCTTTAAAATTAAAGACAGGCAATGGAAATAAAACACAATCCTCTAGTTTATTTCCCTGCTACCTTTAAAATGTCAAAAGCCACGTCCACTCAGGTTTACAAATCATGTTTGAAATGGTTCTGGTGTGCCATTTTATAGATAAAAATGAAGCCTCACCTTCAATCATGACAGCTTTACCATTTATCTGCAGTTTTTCTCTTATACATGTAATGTAATGCACAAGCACCTCACCAGGCATCACACAAGGAGCTTTGAATTTATGTATATGTAAGTATTTCCTCACTAATTTTATCTATTTCTTATGGGGAAAATTGACACGTTGTTTCAACGTCCTCGCTTAACGTACTGCATACTGTATTCTGTCCATCTCTTTCTGTCTCCCTCTAGTTCTTACACCTTCAACTGTGCTGCCATAAATCTTTCCTACCAATCTCTCCTAGGACACATTCATTGTGAAGCTGCTGTGACAGATAACTGAAAGGAGACTGCATGTCAATTATGCAGGTGGCTGGTGTCTGAGACTGGTGCAGGGGAAGAATGCTGCCCTATTACCCAGAATAAGGTCAAGGGCCAGCAGAGACCCCTAACCTACTACCTCCTTTGTGTATAACTCCACAGAGATTTATTAATATCACTGTGTGGAGTTACACCTCCCAGCCACTTCTGACTGACTTAAGTGTTTGGAGAGAGTTGTCACATAAGATTTGGAGTGAATTTCAATACCTGTAGAGTGAATCTGCATGGCACCATGTAAGGACTGTACCAACTGTCAATGTTAGCCTGGCTCATAACCCACAGATTCGGTGGATAAATACTGAATTTTGCAAAGTATTTGTCGTTTTTCAGCCATAACACATTATGTGTGACTTGTGTAAGGAAATTCCTTATAATTTTATCCCTAAGAAATCAATCCAACATTACATAATTTCCACTGAAAATACCAACATCCTGTAACACATACAGTATGGGTACTTCCCAAATTTTTAGTTTTAGTCTTTTAAACAGACTAAATCATGTTCTAACATATAAGTACTGTGATCAAACAACAAATGGTTTATTTATAAACTAAAACAACAGATATTGTGGAAGTGCTAGACATACCAACACAAGAATAAGGTCTGGACAATGCTCTATCACACAAGTGTTTTTCCCTGATGCAATATGTGCAGGCAAGATGAAAACCATGAATCTCATCCATGTATAGGTGAACTTAACCAGTGTACTAATATGAATTTGGGTAGTAAAAAGTAAACAGTATACAAGAGATTCTGGTTTTCTTGCAAAGCTGGCATAACAGAGAGTGACCTGTACGAGATCCTCAATAAAACATCTTATGTTTTCAATGCTACTACTGTATTAATATTCACTCCTGCTCCTTTTAACTTGAGTTTCCCTCCCATTGTGAGTCCTAGTCCCAGATGTCCCTCCTCCTGGCTTCTAAGACTCAATTTAAGACAGCCTCATCTTGATTCTGCTGTAAGTCCAAAACTTAGCTGTCCCTCCAATAACTTTTAAAGTCCCGACCAATTTACCGTATTTTACGGCATATAAGACACAATTTTTGTCTGAATAATGGCTAAAAAATCAGCCTGCATCCAATATGTGAAGTTGTGGTCTCCCGTAGGCTAATGAATCCCTCCAGTTGCTGTCCCCAGTAGGCTAAATTCTACCTAACCCAACTCCAGAATTACAAATATTATTGCTTAATTAAACACATTACCGGGTATTATTATTTTTAATTAATAAAAAAATTAACGATAGAAGTTGGATTTATAACTACTGTACTGACAATGATAACCCGAGACGATTAACGTCTGTACAGCAGGTACCCAACTCTACAGAGCTAAACAGTCACCATTTCTGAACTCTTCCAACATTTATCTTGAAATCTATTAATATTTGACATTTATGAAGAATTACAGATTACTTTCTTTTCACATTTGTGTCTGTTAACATCTCTGGGAACATTGTAGCCAAGTTAGACTCATCACTGTTACCACCAGGCTGCCAGGCCAAGCTGTGAGCGATGTTTTGGTTATTTTTCAACTCATAATTTTAGGAAGATATACATAACTTTCTTAATTTTTTTCTCTCAGTTACATGCACACACCATCCTACATACATATTGCAAAAAAAAAAGTAAAAGAAATAATTATCATAAGGTCAAACACGAGTGTGGGGGGGACGTTGCAAGGGATTCAGCAGAGATGGGCCCCCGCTGGTCTGCGTTGCTATGACAAAGCAGGAAGTGTTTATGTAAATGGCAATTGTGTTAAACTTTCAATTGGCTTTTGTTTAATGGTTTTAGATGCATTTTTTTCATCTAGATTGTATACATACAAATGGTGTTTGAAGTACAGGGGGTCCTCGCTATCCGCGGTTAATTGGGACCAGAAAAAATGCCTCTGATAACGAATCCACTTAAAGCGGGGAATTAATCCCATAAGAAATAATAGAAATAGGTCAAATTGGGACCATGACATTGTACGCGACACAAATTTTTTTTTTTATATGATATCTTAGAAACATCTGTTAAACATTTGATAACATAATTTAAAGAAATTATTTAACTTTATCAGTTATCTGACGTCCTTAAAGTTCATTAGGGTCGGTGTGTTGAGGCAACGTAGGTTATGCCAGCGACCTGGTGGTCTGCATCAACCGTCACTGGTGCACTCTCACTCCAGTGGTTCATTGAAACAAATTACTTATTATAATGTTTTAAAAATAAATAATTTTAACATAAAAAAATATTTTTATTTACTTAGCTTCAAAGGTAGAGATGTTTGGCTTGATTGGATTGATGGAGGTGGGTGTTGGGGTATGAAGGATTAGTTCAGAGGATGAAAAAGAAACAGTGTATTAGCCCCCGTCTCATAGGCAGAAGTACTTATATAAATGTGGGTTAATTACATTAGACTTGTATAACTATCACCCCCTGTAACTTTCCACTAGCCATGAGGTTCATGTTCAGAGCACGTGATAAGGTGTGTCCACAGGAAGGCCCATCACTCAGTGCTAAGCTCGGGCATAAGTAACCAGCTCCCTGGCCGCCTGTGACACGCAGTAGTTTGATAATACTGAGGAGAGGAAGACGTTATTAGAGCCATCCCTGATGTGCTCCTTCTTTCCTTGAGGGAGGACGTCGGATATATTCTGTTCTCCCTCGAGCAGTCTCTACTCAAGATCACTCCCACTCTCATATCAACTGGAAGTATTTAGTAGAGCTACTCTAAGATAGCCTCCATCCTCATTTAACACTCATAGCTACAGTGATTAAGTTACGGTGATATACACTTGGAACTGTATACAGTACAAGATATTTTCCTAATAAATGAAGATAGGACAGTTGGGTTTTCGCTACTAAAAACCCATAAAACTTTTACATGTTCCAGCTCCCTTAACTCATCAAGAAGCAATGGAAAAAGATCGAAAACATAAGTTGGAAGCAAGTGGATACGAATTAAGTTAAAATAAACAGGCTTGTAAGTTTCCCAAAAACCAGTCATAAGTGTTTTACAAAAAGAAAAGAAAAAAAAGTGATGTGTTATACTCCTCCAAAGTGGATTAACATATCCCGTAGTGAGATGTTACATGTTGAGTGATATTCATTTTGTCATCCAAGATGATGTACAATTTTTTTTATCAATAACCATTACTGAGTTATTGATTTTTTTTTATCAATAACCATTACCGAGTTATTGATAATTGCTATTAGTATATGGTGACACTCTTGTGAGCTGAAGTGAAAGTTAGTTCTGCAAATGAATCATTCACTGTCCAGGATGTGACTCAGCCACACCCAGCGAGTCGCCAGTGCTGTGCTCATCGTCTTGACAACTAGTGGACTCAACGTCCTCAGTAGCGGACTCACCCAACACCATTTTGAAGCTTCAATCAGTTGCTAGGCAAAAGACGCTATTTTTGTTTTGTGGACGCTATCTGATCTACTATCAACATGAGGGACATTGACCCAATGACGGTGACCTTGGCATCAGCTGTGACTCCTACGAGCACACCAGCTGACGTCTAAGGTATTTGAGGCAACATTTTCACATTCAAGAAATTCCAGTAGGAATTCTTCATGTCAAGCCTACAAGGAATAGGTATTTCATAGACATACAGTAGATTTATACACACTATACACACATTGATATATTCTACAGCATTTCATCACACGTTATCCGTCGTGATACTGTAGGTTATTTATATTTTATAGGTGTCTTACTTATTTTATATAAATACTGATGTACTATATCCCAGTAATTTCAAACCTTAGATGTAGAAAATGCAGACTTTTTTGTTTTCCCAGGAAGGTTAATAATGTTAATGATGTCAAACACATCTTTTCAAATCGCAAATATGTCAGGTTAACAATGTTAATAATGCTCAAACTGCAAATATGTCAGGTTATTAATGTTAATGATGTCATAAACATCTTTTCAAACTGCAAATATGACAGTTCTATAATACAGTAATGTTAATGTCATAGACACATCTTTTCAAACTGCAAATATGACATTTCTAAATTAATGTTAATGATGTCACACACATCTTTTTAAACTGCAAATATGACAGTTCTACAATATTATCACACTGTAAATTTTGAGCCATTCCGTGGTAGAACTCTTCGCAAGTTTGTACCATTGCTCTCCACAAAGGTGAATAATTTGTCGAGGAGTGTCCCAGGCACCACACGCACATTCATCCAGCATGATTATACAGTAGTAGCAAAAGTTGTACATAGCTAAGGAGCGTTCTTAAACACGAAGTAGGTGAGATTTATTTTTGCCATTTGATTTTGGTAGTGATATTTTTGTTTTGTGATTGTAAGTCAGTATCTTCCAAGTTTGCCATTGTACATAATATTCTTTCCCATGTGGCACTTCAGACTAGGGCTTGAGTAGCTGTTCAACTACAGGTGTCCGCTTTCCCAGTTAAGTGTTTACACACATATGCATGTAACATGGTTAGGTATAGGGTTTTTCTGCGAGATTAATTTATTTCCTCTCGGAGCTCGGAAGGTGTGACCGAGCGATGTATTAGCCCCTGTCTCCTAGGCAGAAGTACAGTCAACCCTCGCTTTACGCGGTCCCACATTCCGCGGTTCCACGGTACCCTGCCGAAACCGGAATGCTCACATTCCGCGGTGCGTGTACCCCTTTACGCGGTTGAAGTATAATTTTTTTATTTAGCTCATAAAATTCATACAAATTATCTGGCCAAAATATAATTTACATGGCTGGAATTCTTACAATTTGATGATCATTTTGAATATAAACATCAGAGATTTTGCATTAGACATACAAATTTTAGATCTAATGTAAGTATTTTGTTTACTCTGAGTAAATATGTTATCTTTTGTGCAAAATATATGACATTTATATTCAAAATATTCCTGGTCTTACAAGGAATCCAGCAATGTCAATTATATTATCCTAACTTTAGTTTGAGGTATTATTTATTACTATACCTTAAAATCTAGTGGTTTCTCCCAAAAATTTCTCAGAGACGGAAGAGCCAGCGAGTGTAGTGTGAGAAGAGGGGGAGGGAGTCGAGTCCATTATTTGAATGAACATTAACTTGGCGACTGTATTTCTCTATTTCTCTTAAGTATTAATTGTGTGCATGTACCTTCATAAAATTAAGATGTTATTTTTACTAGAACATAGGTATTGTGTCGGAAAAAGTGGAGTTTGGGGGTCAGCCGGTCTCTATTTCATTTAATCCCATATGTTATGTTGTTTAATTTACGCGTTTCTCACTTTCCGCGGTACCCTGTGGGTTGAATTAACTGCGTAAAGTGAGGGTTGACTGTACTTATATAAATGTGGGTTAATTACATTAGACTTGTATAACTATCACCCCCTGTAACTTTCCACTAGCTATGAAGTTCATGTTCAGAGCACGTGATAAATTGTGTCCACAGGAAGGCCCGTCACTTAGTGCTAAGCTCAGGCATAAGTAGCCGGCTCCATGGCCACCTGTTGCGCCCAGTAGTTTGATAACATTGACGAGAGGAAGACGTTATTAGAGCCATCCCTGGTGTGCTCCGACTTTCTTCGAGGGAGGACGTCGGATATATTCCGTTCTCCCTCGAGCAGTCTCTGCTCACTATCACTCTCACATCAATCGGACATATTTAGTAGAGCTACTCTAAGATAGCCTACGTCCTCATTTAACGCTCATAGCTATTGTGATTAAGCTACGGTGATATACACTTGGAACTGTATACATTACAAGATATTTTCCTAATGAATGAAGAAAGAACAGTTGGGTTTTTGCTACTAAAACCCCCCATAAAACTTTTACATGTTCCAGCTCCCTTAACTCATCAAGAATCAACGGTTAATGGCCAGAACAACAGGACTAGGTGGATTGTCCACTCCCACTCTTCTTTCGCTTAATCACTTTTAATTTTACATCTATACCATAGCTAGTGTGCTTCCTTTTGAGTGCAGCACCACCCTGATTGAGTTGGGAAATCATAGCTACAAAAATTATAAAATAATTCACCACAACATGTACAAAAAGACAACAAAGGCACGAGTAAACACAACACAGCACTGGTCTGGACAAAACAAAGCAGGAGACTGGCACAGGGACACGTATGTATTTGCAAGACTCCAGTTAGAGTATGAAATTTCAAATGCTTCAGCTAAAAATCCATAGATTTTATCGGGAGGGGGGGGGGGGGGTTAAATCCGTAATTTTATCCGGACTTTTCAGAGTTTTGGAATGCACTTAAATGCGGGGACTTTTTACGTGAATGGTCACAAAAAGTTGACCACTTAACTGTGAAATTGCATTGTGAATACTCTTACAACGAGGACCTCCTGTAGCACAATTGTTAAATAACATAAACAAGGTAGGTAGTATAGTTTATCAATGAACGCTGGGAAAGGAGGTTCAGGGAATTGTGAATTTTCTTCAGCCTTAATTTGACTTGCCATGTTGGCCGTTACTTTACATCTGTAAAAATATTTCTTATTTTTCTTTAACTGATACTTCTTTTTCAGTATTTTATATTAGTTTTGTATTTGTAATTGTAACACAAGACTCATCACTATAGCCACATCCCCTAAGCTCTCCCCCTACAGGTATTTTATGGTTATTTTGCAACTCATAATTTTGAGTAGATATACGTAATTTTCTTCTTTTTTTTTTACTGTTACGTGAACACTCAATCTTACATACGGAATATACAAAAATAATAATAAGATAAATAATTATGAGGTCAAAAATATAAAAGGGAAAAAACTTTGTGTGTGCATTAAGAGGGGGGGGAGAGGATTGTTCTGAGCCATCTCCCATGTATAGTCATATGTCCAGCAGCCAAATAGAAATTTAGTAATTTTTTTAAACTTATTTACTGGTATTAATTAAATTTATTCCTCACACTTACTGATACTGATTACCTATATATTAAAAAAAAAAACTATGGCTACAGAAGGAAAATACACAAAAGTTCTCTCCTAAACATTCCCTGCAGAAATGGGGGGTGCATCTTATATGCTGTAAAATACCGTACTCCGATCTGAAGGCCTTACAAAATCTGACCCTGAAGATAGATCTCCAAGGTGTTTCTCGCTCTCTCTCTCTCTCTCTCTCTCTCTCTCTCAAAAAAAAAGTACTTATCCATTCAATAACATGCAAGTACACAGCATGTGATTTAAATCCGTATTCTGAAAAAAAAGGGGGCAGAAAAATGGATATTAGCTCCATCTATTCACCTACCCAAAGATACACAATGAAAAGGTGGATTTTTTTTTATAGCTTTTGGGGCTGCAAGTACAATCAACCTAAAACAAATTTTTACAACTAACCTAATTTGGCCAGTTCCCCAGCCTCTAGTACGTCCTTGTAGAACTTATCATTATAGCTGACTGGAAACACCACCTGGTTGAGTAGCTTCAACTGCTTTATGTTATGGGGTGTCACATCCCCCAGCTCAATTCGACCCCTGAAACAATGTTACTATTAGAAGCCCGAAAAAAAAAAAAAATAGTTTCTAACAATTTATGGTATGACATCACTAATTCAAAAGTTTTTTTTTATTAAAACAAATACCCTAGAGGCATACACAAAAGAAACATCAAAAGCTGAATTTCATATGTACTGTACTGTAATTTTCTGTAAGTACATGTAATATCATTTAGATCTGTTGGTCTATGGGTCATACACAAATTACCTTCTCAGGGGTGTAATTAGTAGCATGTAGAGGTGATAAATGAAGTAGAAATACAGGGTGTCCACAAATGATTATCCTAAAAACAGTATGCTCTCATGCTTTAATCAGGGTAACATTTATGGACACCCTACATTGTTACTCCGTATCAGTAGAATTTGGGATACTTTTTCTATGACAGTATTTAAGTACCAGGTACAGTCAGCCAAAGATGCATCGACCCCTACACTGGCTCTTGTAGTCACAATTTTACCTGGCAATACTTGGTAAAGTAAGGCTGTATGTAATGGGATTGTGATTGGTTTTCTATTTTTGGCTGTATCACTGTCAGGATAAATATTAACCAATCCAAAAGCAGAATTTTTATAAAAATAAACAATTCATCGTTATTTAAGATAATTATAATTTTCCAAATGTTCGTATATTTGCTTAAATGATGAAGAAATTAGACTAATAATTTGGCAACTCAACTTCACTCAGGGCTGCCACAAGATTCTCAGATCTAATTTCTTCATCAATTAAGCAAATCTACATACAATTGGAAAATTATCATGACCTTAAATTACAAATTGTTTCTTATAAAAATTCTGCATTTCGATTGTTTAATATTTATCCTGACAGTGATACAGCCGAAAATAGATTGACCAATCACAATCCCAATTACATACAGCCTTACTTCACCAAGTATTGCCAGGTAAAATTGCGAGTACGAGAGCCAGGTGCATCTTTGGCTGACTGTACATGAATACAAATGTTAGGGAAAATATCACAAAGCCATAAAAAAAAATATTTGTAATTCCAGTTTCCTGACAAACTCTACATTTTTACGGCCAAACCTAATTTTTTTTTGGAGCTGTATGAAAATGCTGTACTGTATCTCATAATCTGTAGTGAAAAACGAAAATGTGCCTGAAACTTAATACAAGATACTGTACTGTATTTGGTAAATATTCGTCCATTGGTTGTCCTCAGGTATTGGTACGAGTATAGGCTATTTTGACGTATTTTAGTGCGTTTTACTAAAATCTGACTTTCATTTCATTTGCAAATTATTGGGTTTTACAAAAAATAAAAATTTTAATTTTTAACAAACTGCTAATTTGAACAAAAAATTGAGGTAAAAAAAATAAAAATAATCTCATACCAAAAGCAACTAACCAACCTACCTAACCTAAGCTAAGCTACAAGGAGGAGACAACAGACTCTAAGTGAGGAATATAACCTCGGTAAACATGGCAGGAGCCTGCGGATAGCCAATGGACGAATATTAAACCTGTATTTTTATATATACAGTATACTGTTTATATAAAAAATCAGAAAGGTCCCTGCATCAACACGGTGAGGTCATCTTGAATCTTGTGAAACTGCATGAAACATTACAAACAAAAAATGACTGCCACTGTGAACTTTCACAGATCTTCTACATTAAATTTCAAAGAATATCATCCTGAAGATTTAACTGATGTCAAACTCGGATGTTTAGAATCTACATATTAAAACCTGTCACAGCAAAAATTTTATAATTTAAAAAATTAAATGTATTATCAACCTATCTACCCTAAAAATTTGGTAAAATTATCATTTCGATCATGCACCTACAGTATTTAGAAGTTATTCAAAACACAAATAAAAACCTCACAGGTTCGATTCCCGTGCCGGTGGAAAAGTTGTTTGGACATACTTCCTAGCCCCAATTGGTCCCTGTTCACCTAGCAGTAAAGTAGGTACCTGTTGTAAATCGAAAGTTGCAAATTCGTATTCAGGGAAAGTTGTTGGAGCTTCCAATAACTTGATGACAAAAACCACTGACTCTTCAGGCTTCTACGCCCTTAACTCATGAGACATAAAGGCAAGCATGAACTTAGCATGCTTCCCTGTTGGGCGCTGTAAACGCTTCTGCGCTTCACCTTACACAAGGATGTAGGGGGGGGTGACCAATAAAAAAATAAATAAATAAATAAAAACCATCGGAAAAACATAATTTCAACCCAGCCTAGCCTAGCCTAGCCCAGCCCAACCTAACCTAACCTTAAAATCCTAAAATTCGCTACATGACCAGAACAAAAACTTACTTCATTGAAGGTTCGAGTGTGAGGACAAGGTGGGTGGGAAGGAGCTGGGGTGACATAATAAAATTACACCTACCAAAATAAATATATTTTAGACCTTCAAAATAAATCAATGTAACTTTCATGAGCGTTATAAATAATAGCAGAGGCTAGGGAGACTTTACACTGTGAAACAGTATATCAGGTATAGGGTACAAATATATCCTTCTACTCTCTCGGTGCAGCATTACCTGTGTAAGAAGGGTATTAAACAGGCGCCCTTATACCCCACCTTCATCTGGCAAAGACCCAATCGAAAATAATAAGATATAAAGTGCTGGAGCTAAACTAAACGTTTTCATTAGTTATCTGTACTTGGAAATTGTCTCAATAAAATAATGTGGCACAGCAGCACAGCCACTTCACTATTTGATGGTTCTACATTTCACAAAATATTAATAATAGTTATTTCAAGGGTTCAACGTGGATGATAATCAATTATTACTTCCTCATAGTGGTGAGTGGCGGCGAGAGTATTCAAGCGAGAGAAGACCAATTCAGAACATAACACAGGGCGCAGCCATGATGGGTAGACTAGTTCATGACGTCACTTCCCTTGACAACATCCAATGAGAAGCTTAAACCTTGGCGTCCTTAGCAACGCTTTTGAATGGAACAACTCGTGGTGTGATCTGCAGTCTGACACACAAAGTAAGTTACTGAGAGAGGTAAGATTCTTTGTTACTTCTGATGTAAAATAGTCAAAATTATTCTAATTATCTAATAGCCACACTATGGATATAGTTATAGTACTATATACTAGAGTTAACCTATCTAATTGTTATACTCCACCGGTCTTTTGAATAATCGTATTAATGTTGAGACAGTGGAATGATCTGAATCACTGTACCTCTGTAGACTAAAACAAAGTAATTGTATATAAAAAAAATATATAGTGGAATAGCGTTAAACAGTGAACTACGTCTACTTATGCAGAATTATTTTCGGAGAGTAACCTACCCATTTGCCGGTTTGACCATCTACTTGTACTTTACTTTATCCTTTTCGCCATTGGTCGGCTCTTACCTTACTGTCTCTATTACGCACCGTTGGCGCGGTTGTGGGGTTCAAGATGTTTGGTTCACACTCAGGATGGGATGGAGAAAGGAAACTCACAATGTGCTCTCTGTATACATGTTGTATTGGATGTACAATGCAGCTTGGTGCTGGGAAGTGGCAGCGTGGTTACAAGCGTGGTGTAGAGAGAGCTGGTTGGTGAGGATGCTCAGAGGAAGACAGCTTGTGGGTCGCCATGCTCGCCGGCGGGAGCGAGGGCCGCCAGGCAGCAGCAGAGGAGGTATGTAGCTTGCTGCGGCTGTAGCTAGAAAAGAGAGCGGTCACCTCGAGGTCAGGTCTTAAATAGTGGAGGTAGGCGTGGCTTAGTAGTTGACCTCCGTGATGTATGGCGGCGTTGGTTGACCTAGACCACGAGGCATACACTGGGGAATTCGCGGGATCGGCTACTCAGCGACAAACAGCATTTGTAGGGGAGGGATCCACTACAACAGTTTTGGTCAAATTTAATCTTTTTGTTCACACTCAGTGCCACCACAACATTCCCTGGTAAGTTAGTTATTCCAAGAGTTCACAACTCTTACTCCAAAAGTAGTTAATTCTGATAATTTTGTTCTTGTAGCTTCTTAAACCTGAGGCTGAGACATCTAGTGTGGTGGGCATCAGCAACATGACTGAGTACTGTCCTAGGAGGTGCTTATGAACTTCTTTTAACTTTTACTTTTATCCTCTTCACCACTGATCGGCTCGTTAGCCGCCCGGGCGATCTGTCACATCTCTGTAACGCACTGTTGGCAAGTACTGGGCATGCACCGGCTCCTGAATGTACCTGAACCTGCTCCAGTGTTGGTCAAGTCTTGTCCTGAAAGAGCTCACACTCGGTGCCGTCACAACACTTTCTGGTAGATTGTTTCAAGAGTTTTCAACGCTCACTCCGAAAAAGTTTGCCCTCACAGTTTTCTGGACTTGCAGCCTCTTCAATCTTGAGCTGTGACTGTAGCGTACTGTATGTGGCCAGTTGTCAATTCTCTTAGTATGGGCACACAAACGTACGTACATGTAGATATCTCACACTCAGGAATGAGGTAGAATAGAAACTCACAATGCGCTTTCTGTATATATATTGTTGTACAGCGCAGTGCTTAGGAGTGACTAGGTGAGGAGAAACTTGCTCAGAGGTCCTGTAGGGCGAGGAGGTTTCTGAGGAAGCTGGGTGGTGAGGAGCTGTGAGAGATGTTGCTGGTCCGGTAGCCGAGTGTAGAATGGTCTCCCTGGCCAGGCATGGCCGTATTTATACAATTTACGAGGATCAGGATTTGGGGTGAGCGTAGCGAGAGGGCCAATCACAGCGGCTTAAGCGTAAGGTGTGAAACGCTCTGATCCTGAGCTGGAGGTTGAAGGTCGAGACTAGGTCGGCGCTCGTACCCCTATGTCCACTGCATAGACCTAGTCTCTCGGCGTAGCTGGCTGTACGCTGGTTGGCTGGTAGGCGCGCGGCCGGAGCTCAGTTGGGAGTTGTAGGGGAGAGGAGCCACTACATGACCCCTTGTGGGGCGAGCGTCCGTCAGCTCCAAGTAAGGACACTCGACTGAGTAGTGCCCCCTGAGATGCTTATACACCTCAACTAGGCCACCCCTTGCCCGTCTGTAGTATAGGCTAGGCAAGTTCAGGCTCTCCAATCTCTCAGGGTAGTTGAGGTGCCGAAGTGGAGGCACCAGTCTGGTGGCCCTCCTTTGAAAATTTTCAACCAACTGACAGTCCCTAGCATATCTCGGGGACCAGACGGGGTGACAGTACTCCAGATGGGGAAGCATTTCACTCTTGAAGATCGTTACGAGGGATGGACCGTCTAGATATCTGAACGACCTTCTTATAAGACCCAATAATTTATTTGCCTGGTTTACCTTCTTCTCGCAATGGCTCGAGAACTTCAGCTCATTGTCAACATACACTCCTAGGTCTTTCTCACATTCAGTCTCAACTAGTGCAGTTTCTTCATCCCGTTGGGACATACGATACGCCTCCTTACCGTTGATACGCCCCAGGTGCATCCTCTTACACTTCGTGATATTGAATCTCAACAGCCATTTCTTCAACCATTCTTGGAGCCCACAGAGGTCCTTCTGCAGCTCTTCACAGTCCGCTTGGTTCTTATTTTCCCGAAATAACTTGGCGTCATCGGCAAACATTTGTATGGAAGAGTATACAACATCAGGCATGTCATTTATGAAACAAATAAACAACAGCGGGCCCAATACACTGCCCTGTGGTACCCCACTTGTGACAGGTACGGATGACGATTTCGTGCCATTAATCACCACACACTGCTTGCGGTCATGTAGAAAGTCTTCTATCCACGCTAGGACATTTCCCTGAATTCCGTACCCTTCCAGTTTGATTTTCAGCCTTTCATGGGGTACTCTGTCGAAAGCCTTGGCAAAATCTAGGTAAATATTGTCGATATTACCACCCCGTTCCAGAATATGGGTCCAAATATCCAATACCTTGAGCAATTGTGTTAAGCAGGAGTGCCCCGGCATAAAACCCTGTTGGCAATCCTTTACAAGGTTGTTTCGTATTAGATGTTCCATTGCGGCATCCCTGATACTACTCTCAAGTACTTTACATATTATGCTGGTCAGGCTCACCGGTCTATAGTTGTTCGTGGAGTGACGATCGCCCTTCTTAAAGATCGGACTCACATAAGCCACTTTCCATTCACTGGGGACCTTTTGTTCATCCAGTCATTTACAAAACAGGATCTTCAGGGGCTCAGCAAGCTCGTTCACAACTCTCTTAGCACTCTAGGATGCACCATGTCAGGGCCGGGACTCTTATGGACCTTTAGCCTGGACAGTTTACTTCTAATACCCTCTTCTGTGAACACAATGTGAGTCAGTACTGTGTCGAACCGTCTGTCCTCAAACGCAGGACGGTTAATTGCATCCTCTCCTGTGAACACCGAGGAAAAGAAGCTAGCTGTTCAATGCCTCAGCTTTATCCTGGTCAGAATCTGCGTAACTACCATCCTCAAGCCTCAGGTCTGATACTCCTACTCGCGTTTTCAATTTCGACTTTGCAAAGCGGTAAAACGCCTTTGGGTTTGACTTGACCTCGCTTGCAACCAGCCTCTGGAACTCCTTTTCAGCCCTTCTACACTCTATCTTTGCTTGGTTTCTGGCTCTTGCATACATCCTCCTGTCTTGCTCATCGTTTTACCCAACCCACGTCTTGAATTTCTGAGTTTTCTTCTTAATTCTGTCGACTGCCGCATGGTTCATGTGTAGGGATTCCCTCGTATTCCTAGTAGCACTGGGTTTGGTCTTGGGAATATATTTATCGATCAAATGGGTCACTTTACTAGTTTTGATATTCAGCGTAGTGTCTGAGTTCTTGTACCCTAATGAGTCAGGCCAGTTGATACCTCTCATCTCTTCCCTCATCCCATTGTAATTTCCCTTGTAATATTTGCACCTTGGCCTGGCCTTATCCTGAACTAGGTAACAGTTAATTCTGAATGACAACACTATATGGTGATTGGTGCCAACTGGGGCAAGGTGTTCCAGTTTGGCCACCATACCCTCCTCGTTTGTTATGATGAGGTCAAGTGGCTTGGGTGTTTGCTCCCCTCTGTAATGTGTCGGGTCTCTAACATGTTGGAACAGAAAATTATCTCTCAGAGTTTCTACAAAAAGAGTAGTGGGGTTATTCAAGTCATTTAGGGTGGACTCGTTTCTCCAGTCGATGTCGCCATAGTTAAAGTCCTCCATGATAAGGAGGTGGCTAGGGTTGAGCATTGCCGCGTTGTCTATTAAGGCTCTTAAGTTCCTTTGATTTAGTGGGCCACAGTTTGGGGATCTGTAGATACACCCGACGATAAGTAAGTCCCCTCCCTTTAATTTAATTTTACACCACTTGCACTCTTCAAAAACATCCTCTCCCTGTACCCTCGCCTGGCTGGCTCTAAGGTCTTGCCTAGCATAGATAACCACACCCCTCCTGCAAGTTTCTTGAGAAAGGTTCGTAAATGAGTCATATCCAGCAATACTGAACTCACATTCCTCTGGGTCGATTCTCCTGTTCTTGTACAATAGTTCTACAACTCCTACAATATCTGGTTGGTGTACTCTCAGTAATGTTTCAAACTCCTCTCTCTTATCAAGGAACGTGTTAGTATTAGTGTACATGACATTAAAGCCAGAATTTGTTTTCAGTAATGTCTCTGCTCTTAGTAGTAACCCCCCCCCCATTCTCAGAAGCTGCAGCATTTGCTAAGTACACTGTGGGGTTTTTGGTTGTTTGGTTCACACTCAGGATGGAATGGAGAAAGGAAACTCACAATGTGCTCTCTATATACATGTTGTATTGGATGTACAATGTAGCTTGGTGCTGGGAAGGCAGCATGGTTACAAGTGTGATGTAGAGAGAGCTGGTTGGTGAGGATGCTCAGAGAACGACAGCTTGTGGGTCGCCATGCTCGCCGGCGGGAGAGAGGACCGCCAGGCAGGCGGAAGAGGAGTGAGGGCCGCAAGGCAGCGGCGGAGGAGGAGGTGTTGCTGGCT